ATCAAATAAAGTCTAATGTTACAACTAATCAGTGATCCCTTTAATAAAGTATAACAAATGAACATTTCATTTCACTTTCAGCTTTATAAAATGTTCTATTCCACTTTAATATATATTTTAGTAGCASAAGCTCATTAATACATTGTGTCTGCAGTTTATTCTCATCAGTTCTAATTTATATAAATTTGTAATTATGACTAATATTAACATACAGAATATAAACATGCTTCTTACCTAAAGCTGGTTTTAGTTTGTGTGAATATTCCCTCTACATCTCATCACTGTTAGGAAAAAGCCTTTCCTGTAGTTCAAACATTTAAATATCATTTCTTCACATTTAAAATGATCATAGATCTGCTTTCAGAAGTTGAAATCGGACTCTGAAACCAGCAGAATTCATCTGGCTGACGGGTTGTTTTTCTGTTTGATCGTGGGCTCAGAGTCCGTGCCGAGCGGTGAGAGCCAAAGCGTCGCAGGAGGTGACGAGGATGCCCTGGATGACTACCAGGAGCTCAGCACTCGTGAGAAGCAGGACATCGAGAGCATGATGGAGATGTGCGAGTATGCCGTCTCAAATGCCGAAGCTTTCGCCGAGAAGCTCTTCAAGGAGCTGCACGTCTTAGATGGGGTGAGCAGAGAAACGCTGGTGACTTCCCGTTGTGAAGTGGTGATCTAACAGCCGCTCTTTGTTCAGGCCAACATTCAGTCCATCATGGCGTCAGAGAAGCAGGTCAATATACTGATGCAGCTGCTGGATGAGGCTCTGTCAGAGGTGGACACCATCGAGGGGAAGCTGAGCAGCTATGAGGAAATGCTCCAGAGTGTCAAGGACCAGATGGACCAGATCTCCCAAAGCAACCATCTCATCCAGATAAGCAACACCAACAACAGCAAACTGCTGGATGAGATCCAGTTCTTAGTGGTGAGACATGCCAAAGTGACTGTGACATCAAACTTTTATAGTTACTTTAGTTTATTTATACATCTCCATGTCACAACAAACGTCGTCTCAGGTCTCTGTACAAAAACAATAAATCTAAAGAAGCCAGCAGGTTGTGTTAAATCTTCACTTCATCACAGTCTCCATCCTGAGCAGTGCACTGGTGACAGTGGAGAGGAAAAACTCCCCATTAACAGGAAGAAACCTCCAGCAGAACCAGGCTCAGGGCAGGCAGCCATCTGCCTCAATCTGCTGGGTTTGAGGACAGGAAAGAGACACAGGCAAACACAGGACTGGTCCAGATGTATTTTCCTCTGGAAAAGACAAAGAAAACATGTTATTAGCTGTGTTTCCATTACAAATGTGCGCAAAACTTTGTTGATATTCTGTTAATGTCGAAAAAACACAGTTTCGCAACTGGAGTGTTTCTATTAAGTAAGAAATGCTATTAAAGTCACGTGAATACGTTTGTTCTCGTGATAAGTCATTACAAACATGGATGTAAACACATAGCATGTTGCTACCGCGACAC